GGAGGGGAGGGGAGGGGAGGGAGGGAGGGAGGAGCGAGCGGCAGAAGATACCCAAAGCAAGAGAGTATTCCGAGCAATACTCAAAACAAGATAGAAGTCTTGATTGGTACCTCAGCAAACACTTCGCACTTGAGGCTGCCGGTGGCAAAACGAGAGATGTTGACATAGTGCTATATTGCGTGTCGGAAATCTGGTCTGACCATCGTTGTCTTCATGTTACTTCTGTGTTATGTTACCAGCAAGTCTATCCTTTGTTCAACTTTGTTCGATCTTGAAGAGGAAGCTTTCCGCTATCACTTCGACACTTCGGTCCTTGTGCTCTCGAAGCTCCGTCGTGTGCAGGATGACTGTCTCCACCTTGGGGAAGTTGTCGGGCTTTGTGGTTTAGTGGCTGAGTGTCATTCTGCCCCTGCTCCCTTCTAAAGGACAAACATCGAGATCTTGCACACCCCGCACTAAATCATCCAACCAGTATGAGTCCTGCTCTTTAGGCTGCCTGCTGTCAACTTCCCCCCCACCCCCTCCACAGCTGCAAGGAATTTGAGAAACAAGCCACAGCCTTCCTTTGTTTTGCGTCGTAGGACATGCTGTCAAACATACCTTAGCACACGGAGAGTTTATGGCATTTTTTGGGGCTTGTAGCTCAGGTCTCGGGGAATGGTTTTGCACTCTTATACTCAGACTCGCCAGATGAGGTCCTCTCGCTTCCCGCGAAACACCACTGCGACATCAGGCTTGACTGCGGGGAGAACCCTGACGAACCCGAATTCCGAAACTGAACTGCGGCAACAGCCATCCAAGCTTGCATGGTCCATGGTCCTTTACCGGTGGGGACGTTCTCGAAGGCTCGGACAGATGAGGGGCTCATGCCCTCCCCCTGTCCGTACGTGCTTAAGGCCAAGCCGCTGCGAAGCATCCCGTCGATGTCCACCTTGCCATCGGGGCCCAGCATTTTTGTCAAGAGAGCGCAGAACTCGTCAAAGTCCTTGCATGACTTGGCAACTGGTGCAGGGTTTCATCAATTTGAGATAAGTGGTGTATGTCTCTAGAAGAATTGCTAGTTGGGTCAGGTGAGCCGTCTTCGGATGACTGAGAATGCCGGGAGGGGTTCATGCTCTCCGTCAGGGTGGAGCAAGTCTGGCCGGATGAGTGCATTGAAGTCTACAGTCCTTCATGTCCAACGTGTGGATACGTGTGGATCTGCCAAGTTCGAGACAATTCGAGCCGAGCCATTTCGTTGGTTTCGTTATGTGAATGTTGGATTTCAGACACACAAGCTGCGGCTCTCGACCCAAAATACCCGAATCCTTCAGCCCTGAGTAACTGCCATGGGGCGATGTCGCCGCTCTTGTCAATGTCTATTGCCTCCAGGCCAGAAGACGATTCTGGTTGCAAGACTGGGATTTTATTCATTGGTGTCCCGCGAGAATCCACGAGTGCCCGCCCTGAGTGAGTCTATCATAAAGAAGGGAGCTAGGCGACTTAATTCGGCTACTGTAGATGCGCAAGGGCAAGCACGAGTTCCAAAAAAATAAGGGAGCCCTCAACTGCAGACAACTCGAACAGCGGCAAATTTCCACTGCGCACGTGTCCTGTCGGTGCGCAAGTCGGCTACTACTTGGGGCACACAGGACAGCACTGGCCATTGTCTGGTGTCGGCATGACTTCCTCCTGTTCGCACATTGTCGGGAAACACCACACGTACGGGCAAACATCGCTCTCATCTGCACCAAACTTCCCGGTGGCCCCCACGATCTTGGGCTCGATCTTGATGTCGGGATTGACGCAGTACGCGCAGCAATGGCCATCATACTTCGTCGCCGTGAACCCGGTTGGGCACTTCAGCTCTCCACAAGCGACATCCTCACACGCGTCGGGGATGCCATCAATGGCTTTCACCTGAACCAACATCTTCGTGTGCATGTCCTGATCCATACCGACCACTGCATTGCCTCCCAGAAGCTCTTCTGGCAGGGACGTCTCAGTCGCGCCCTGACTGGACCCACGGATGTTTGTAGCGACTCCCAGATGCACCAGGGCAAAGACTAGTGAGAGCGGGCGGCAAGCCATGGCGAGCAAAGCCCAACTTCAATCGAGCTGGATTTTGACAGCTCCTGAGAGCTTCTCAAGCGGCAGCAGGGCCTTACATCGGACATCGAGGTCACGTTGAGCATGCTACCACGATATTTAAAACTGCACGTGCAGGCTGGCTTAGCTTTCAGCAGATTCACTGGCAGTCCAGGTATCACACGACATGATGACTTCAATGATTCCAGCCTCTAACATGGCGAAGACGATATCCATGGGTGGCTCCAGGCCGATCTGGTGCAAGACTGCGGCCAGCTCCTGTATAAAGCGTCCATGCGAGGGATCGCAATAATGTCCATGCTCATTTTGTTTAATAGGGTTTAGGGTCAAGCTAAAGGCTTCGAGACGCAACTCTGCTTCGTGCTATTGTTGCCTATCATGTCAGCCGCTGCAAGAAACAGATTTGGCGGGCAGACCAGCCAAGGCTTTATGCAGATCTCAGCTGGTAACACCTGAGGGCGGATTCATACAAAACCGAAACTGCCTACATGCGCATACACGCTTTCATATGTCCTAATTCAAACTATCTCGCATGAATCACGGCAAGGCAATCGAGTCTACAATCTCGCCTAGTCGGGGTTGATGAAGTTCAGGGCTCTAGTCTGCAAAGGTTTTAGTTTTAGGATTTAGGGTCTCTGGAGTCTATACAATCCAAAGCCTAAAGAGTCTGAAGTCTTATGCTTGTTGTGAGGCATCTGTGACAGGTGTTCCGCTCCGATACGCTGATGGTGCCGGAGCCGTCCAGGTCGAACTCGTGGAAAGTTTGCTGGAAAGTGGCAATCTGCCTTGGGTTTCAGGCTCAATAAACTGGGACAAGCCTGGCGTGGGTCTTTTGGATTTAAGATACAGGGATTCTAGGGGACTTGGGTTGGGTGAGGGATCAAAAAAATTAAATTAGGATCAAAAAAAATTAAACCACAAAGATCAAAAATAATAAAAACAGGATCAAAAAACATTAACGCAGTAGGAATGCAACAAAGCTTAGGAAAAATCTAGGGGTTACGGATCA